ACCACAGGATATGTTATATAAAATTAGTCTGTAATAGAATATATGAGCAACAGTATAATAGTAACAAAGAAAGGAGAACAAAAGTTAATGGGAACTATTTGTTAGAGTGCCGCAGTAAATTGATCATGTCATGCCTAACAGTTTTCTCATCACATAACAGCTGTGCCAGATAAGGTATTGTGGAGTTTTTATACTTGGTAGTCCTGGCATATAGCCTCCTATAGTTGCTTCTAGTTCTACCAGATGAAATGCAAGGAGAGAGCTGCGTATGGAGAGGGTGTTCGGGGTCTGACAATATGGAATTTGCTAGTTTCTTACATGACATTATATGTCTATCCACAATTGTGTTAACCGGTTGGTTTAACGAAATCCCACTTGCCCTACTAACAGCTTTTAGTGCCCTATGCAGCGAAGCAAAGTCTTTCTTAAGTAGTCCAGGAAAGATTAATGGGGAGCAGTAAAGAGGGATGGGTAGAATACAGGAATTGACAAACTGAGAAAGCAAAGACTGCTTTAAATGACTTTGAAAACCTGGTTAACATCAGTCTTGTGTTCTGCATCCACAAGATGAGATAGAATAGCGCTACGAATAGATCTTGTTTCTCCTTTACTTAACCACGCAGGGTGATGTCCGAAAATCCGACGAGAAACACGCCTAATTGTACGGCCAATGTAACTGGTTCCACAGGAGCAAATGGCTGTATGCAGGAAGTCACCTGGAGTTTTAGTGAAAATTTGTAACCAAGTCAAGTATAGGAGCAGTTACTTACGGATGATATTGACTGGCGGTTGCGCTAAATATTTATTATGAATTGGAAGAAGCTGGAATTCATGGACCATACGATCGGTATACAGTGGCTGGATGGAAGGTCCTGGGTTTGAACACCGGTTGGTGCGTACTGATAAAGAGTCCAAAATTATGGAGAAACAGGTGTTCAGTATTCCCAGGCTTTCCATTTGTTCTTTAACTGGTTTCAGCTCGTGATCAAAACTGTAGCCAATCAAATCCATATTAACCGAAACTTTTAGATGTTAATTTAATTATCGCCAATAATGAAAAGAATGTGGAAGATATTCTAGATTTTTTGAAAAACTGTCACCTCGTAATCCATATCAGATAAAAGATGGGATATGGTTCAAAAATATCCTTCCTCGATTCTTAGCTCTAGGATTTGAAAATTGGAAATTAAATAAATCTAACCACAAAAAGCCATCATAGGACACTAAACTTACAAATTCCTAAAGTTGGGTGTCTTTACATATAAAATAGAATCTGATCCGCTCAATGAGCGATGGAATTCGAAACAATCACCGCTCTGACACCATGGAAGCGGAGGTGAGCACTCTTAAAAAGATTGTCATTGAAAATGACTACCTTGAACGCTTCATCACAAAATTCATGAGGCCTACACCAGACACACACAATTTGTGGTCCCGAAAATCGCTGTGTGAATCTGCATTTCAATGGAGACTCACTGGCAAAGATAGTAAGAGACCGCTTTTTCCGTTCATTGAAAAAGACCTTCGCAGCCTAACTTCGACTTATTTTCACTATTAAATCAGTAATTTGTATGAATGTAAAGGTTAAGCTACCTCTCCTGACCCGTCAGTGCTTATATATCAATTCACCTCTTCCCGTATGTAGGCCATACTCAGCGTTTCGTATCCAAATGTATCACCAAACGATTATCATCATAGTTTAATAGACAACAGAAAGGATCCTCACACAACTCTATTTCGGAATAACAAGCGAACTTGCAAACCAGCTTGAGAGTCTACCAAAGAGTACGCAAAAATTTTACCTGAGGAGTACAGACTAAACTTTTTCAAACTGCACACGCTACTACATTATTATAATTATTGTTCCCTTTAATTCCTAGAGGAACATAGGGCTTCAGCCGTGCGTCTCCATTGCGTTCGGTTCTCTGCTAGAGTATTCACCTGGCTCCAAGTCTGCCCACACATTTTCATGTCCTCTTCACATGACCTCCTCCATGTCACCCTTGGACGACCAACTCGCCGCTTCCCATTCGGGTTCCACTCGAGCAATGGCTAGTCTAGTGATGTCACTTGATGGTTTCCTCAGAGTATGGCCAATCCATCTCCATATCTTCCTGCCTATTTGTTTCACAATCGGCTCCTGGTTGGTTCGCTCACGGAGAGTATTGAGCGAAGGCAGCTGTTGATGAAGGTCTGTAGTTTGTTTGAGGTGCTCTTTATGATGCGCCAAGTCTCTGACCCATAAAGTAGCACTGACTTCACATTGGATTTGAAAATCCGAATCTTACTTTTGATGCTGAGTGCTGTTGACCTCCACACAGACTTGAGAGTAATGATCAAATCGCCAAACTACGGATCATCATTGAACAGAGCTTGGAGTGGCAGTCACCTCTTTTTATCAACTTCTTCGACTTTCAAAAGGCCTTCAGCAGCGTCGATCCAGAGGTGATTTGGCAAATACTTCGCTACTATGGGGTGCAACCGATAATTATACATCTCATCCAACACCTGTACGACAATGCTGCATGCCAAGTAATCCACAACGGGAAACTTACGGAACCCTTCGAAGTGAGGACAGGAGTAAGACAAGCTGGCTGCCTACTATCGCCAATGATTTTCCTGATTGCAGTAGACTGGATAATGCGACAAACAGCGGGCAATGAGGAAACAGGCATAAAATGGACCCTCACGAATAACTTGGAGGATCTGGACTTCGCCGATGATATATGTCTGATTTCCCGCAAACTGGAAGATATGAAAGCCAAAAGCAACAAGTTGACGGTAGAAGAAGCACCAAAGATAGGACTTCAGGTGAACATAGAGAAAACAGAGGTGATGAAGATTCCTGGACAAGAACAACAACAACAGACAACGATCAGCATAAATGGAAAGAACCTGAAAGAAACAACCTCTTTTACCTACCTGGGAAGCATCAATTCAACTACAGGCGGAACTGACGAGGATATCAAAGCAAGGATTGGGAAAGCAAGACAAGCTTTCACTACTCATAAGCTACTACCTACCACATGTTATTTTTTATTCCCTTGAACCTGCAGTCGACCTAATTTGTCTCAATATTTTATGTGTAAGTTTTTTTAAGCCTAATTGGTTTCCACTCCTTTTTAATCTCATTTTTTCCTTCCTCATTATTACATTCCTATACCTCATGACACTAAACTTTACTTGACCTTCTTTCAATCCTGGCAGTTATGCTACATCATTCAGTTTACCAGTTACACTAGGCGTACGATCAGGCAAGTTCATGGTCTTATTCCTGAACACCCTCATCTTGGTTTGGCATAGGTTCGAATAAAACTATACTCAGCTCAATACTAGCTCATCTAGTCGATAGTGGACATCAAATTGAGGTAATCGGAATACATCGGAACAATCTAAATCTGTGTTCAGAAGAAATTTGTGCAACCCCTTTCTTTATAGTGGCTAACTACATAATATGTAATAAGTTTTACAAATGATTTTCCCCTCTCTTTGTAACTATCCTTTTAATTTGTTATTTTATTATGACTGCAATTCTAGCTAATTCAGTTAACTTGTCTGTATCTCACGTAATTCTACTGGCTAATCCTATTCATCTTAGTCGTCAATATTTTATAAATTTCTTGACTATGTAATAACCTGTTGATAAAGTCGTACAGTCAGTAAATATTACTGTATAACACTTTATCAAAATAAAATTTTCCCATAATGGAACTACTAGTTAATTATTTTGATGACTCATAATCTTTTATTTTCACCCACTACACGTAAAACTCATAATTCTTATGGACTAAGATAACCAAATGGTGGGCACAATTTTCCATATTCGTTTGTTTATTAGATATATCACACAGTGAAACAGTATTATTTACTGGATGACGTTTCGAACAAAATTTATTGTTCATAATTATATCATACTGTTTCATTGTGTGATATATCTAATAAACAAACTAATATGGAATTACTTACTACCACAGTGCCCAAGTTTTACACATATATTAATGGACACAATTTTGTTGTAAAAAACGATATAATAGTGCAGGGTGTATGATGAGGCATTGCTTGGAAAGAAGCATATTTCCTCCCTCAATTTATTGATTTTTTCTAAGTGTTTAAAGAGAAATTCAGAAATTTATTTTAGTTTCTACACAATTAATGCTTTCTTCATTGCGTAACTGCGATCTAAAATTTACAATTTTAATGATGAACTTCCGGAATCATTCCTTTTGTTGCTGTGAAAATGTACTATCCGTCAACGGCTGAACAGCTTTAGAATGACAGTGTTGAAAAGAGTAACTCCTCTTTGCGTCGTTGGCACAACGGTAGAATGCTGTAATAAGACTGGTAGAGAGGGGAGGTTGGGCATGAGACTAGCAACCCCATCCGTAGAAATAAACACCACTGCTAACAAAATTCCAAGCCTCTAGCTTGAAACCCTATGTCCCACTCGGAACGTAAAGGAATTATATATATATTTATATATATATATATATATACATATATATATATAATGTATATATATAATGCTTTTTGGTGCTTTCTGAGAACTATTATGCTTTAATTACAAGCGAAAACAGGTTGTTTTTAATCGCTGTCGATTAATTAACGTTGAATGAAATCAGCAGAACAATATAATCAAGCCTGTAAAGGAAGAAGACTATCAGAACACCTATCGATTGAAGAAAGTGACAAAGTATTATGATTGGTTTCTCACCAGAGAGTATCTTTTCAGCTTCATAATAATCGCATACTGATGGCCAAGAAGCCTTGGCACAGCAACCAATCAGATGAGTGGTTTGGTTCTGTTAAAAACTGCTTTTAGTATTATCGAATTTACTATATAAGCAAAAATAAAACAAGAATGGTAAGTAAATTCTACCTTTTTGATATGTTATGCTTTACAGTGAAACTATCCTTTAATATTCAGAAAACTTTATAGAAACATTGAACAACCGTGATTAACTCCAAATTTATACTTTCTTGTAATTAGCATCTATTCAAATATGGAAAACCAAGCAGATCCTAGTAAGTAGATTTCTACCACTGAACTTATCTTTTTTTGTACCAATTTTAGTTCACAATTGATTTGATTTTTTAGTCAACAAAACACTTCTTTTTCTTGGCTTTGTTATATTCTGTGAGCGGAAAATAATTAGCTCAGAAAAGTTAAATTGTCAATCTAGACAACGTACTCAAAAATAATTGAAATCTTCAAATTTCACACGAGTGGCCTAACTATTAGTTGTTATGACATCTCAACAAATGTCATGGAAAATCGTAGTAATAATATGATAAGAAGTCGTTGATTTATACTGAAGGGAAACTACAATCCATCATTCAAAGAAGTACTGTCACATAAGTAATAGTGATTACCTAGCGACTGCTGAACACTCACACCGATGGGTTATTTACAAGAAAACATTATTGTTATTATTATTGTTCTCTTCGCTTCCAGCACGTCTCCATTTTGTCCTTTTCCCTGCAGTCCTCTTTAGCTAGCCTCACGGTCTTCCATAGTCTCCCATCTACTCCTCATACAATCTCCCCCATGTCACCCTCGAATATGTAAAGCATCGCTTCCAAGCCTGTTTCCACTGGAGCAATGGTCTAGCACGCGATGTCATTCAACAGTTTCCTCAACGTGTGTGCAATCCATCCCCACTTTATTAGAAACATTTGGTCAGCAACCGGTTCTTGATTGGTTCTTTCCCAAAGTTTCTTGCTGCTAATTCTTCCTGGCCATCTGATCTTCGATACGGAGCAATAAAAGTCTTCAGGCTATTGGAAATGCTTTCCATGACGCGTGTGCCAAGTTCCTGACTCATATAGAAGAAGTGACTTAACATTTATGTTGAAAATCCGAATTTGTTCTTTATGCTGAGTGCAGAAAATTTTCAAACTGGTTTCAGTGTGATGAAGGTGTATGTTGCCTTTTCGATCTTGGCCGGCTTTGACATCCTCATCGGTTTTGGTTGACTGTGGTTGAAATGATGCTGCTCGGATAAGTGAAGGAAGTGACCGACTTTCAAGCTTATTCTGTTGTTGTTGAGATCCTGCAAAATTCAGAATCAGAATCCATGTACCTGGAGATTAAGACATATCATTAGAGGGCTTCCCATAAATCACTACAGACTTCGTGAGTCAGTGAAAGCGTTCCCCACAGGTTACTGTAAAATGTCCTCAACATTTGCATTCACTTGCTACTGAAGATAAGATGGGTGACTAGAAAAGAAAAGTGACCAACAAATGAAATTGACGGTGAATTAGGAAATGGATATGGACTGGGTACACCCTCAGAAGATCGTTAAGTGAAACCACTTACTGATCAGTCAAGTAGAACCTAATTGAGAAACGATAAGTTGGGTGTCCAACAGCAACACTAATGAAATTATTTGACGAGGAAATGGAAGATTGTGAACAATTGTGAAGTCAACTAAGAAACACGACGGTTTGGATATACCACTGAAGCCCTATGTTCCACTCGGAACGGATGGTGCGCATAATAATGCTTATAACAATAATACAGTATCTCTTCTTTCACTTACAACCAGCTGTGGGTTTTTGTCTCATCCATATTTACTACTTAATAGTAAGAAAATAACAAATATTCAAAAAAGACACTGAGAAAATATCTCTAATTTTCCATAAAAAAAGTGATTCTGAAGTTGTCTGATGAAAACTATTTTGTAGACGGCCTGTCTGAAAGATTATGTGAGTTTACAAACTAACCAATACGACAATACCCTCCAACTCCAGATACTGAAATCAGCCTTATCCTCAGTATTTCAGACCTTCTCTGACTTGAATATGGATTTTCTCTCTTTACTTATGCAAAGAGAAGCATTTCGGTTATTGAATAGAGTTCACTGAGACATGCAGAGGCGGTGAAAATGTGGAAGCTGCTTGCTTGAATTATTAGTCATGGAATGATAACGTATGTGTGATTGTGTTTGATTTAATTTTTTGACTGGCTGTCGTACAGAGGAGGATGTACTAAACAGCGTCTTAGATACCTTATTTTGCTGTAATGTATAGAAAGTGCTGTCAGTTGAATAAGGAAGATAGAAGAGAAAACATTCCATTGTAGTCGGTAAAAATGACTTCTTTTGCACATCATAAACCTAAAGTATAGCTTTCACGGCTGTTAGCAAACAGATTACTTTAATACATATGTATGCTACTGAGTAATACCAGTAATATGAGTGCTGGTACATTGAACTATCCTATACAGTGGTCAAATTCTAGTGTATTAACAACAAATATAAATCTCTCACAAAGTAGCGACAGTTTAAAATTCAAATTTCTTCGATGAAGTTATTAAGAGAGTTATCATTATTTGTTTCACGTAAAGCAGTGAGAAATGCCAATTATAACAGTCGACTTACGGTGTCATCTGGGTCAGATATCATGGTTTAAAAAGCAATATTTCAAGAAGCAATAAGAAGAAATAATAAGAACGCTTTTATTGATATAAGTATAAAACTTTGGCACTGTGGTAGACCATAACTCCATTATGGATGAGATCTTATTTTGATAAATCACACAGTGTTATACAGTAATATTAACTGATGACGTTTCGAGCACAAACTATTGCTCATAATCATATCAAGTTACTGACACAACCTTTTTCCTTCATATATATACATGTGTGGAATCGATTAGATATTGGGATAAAAATCAGTGTAGGATAATGTACATTCAGAATTATTAATATGAGTGTTATTGATGAATTACAATCAGGTGGGAAATAGGACGAGTGTTTTTATAGTCATAATAAGTAACTTGTTAGAATGTTGTGATGTGCTTGAATTGAAATAGAATTTTAAGATTATTTATTATCCTCCTCTGATTTGACTGGTGGTAATAATATCTTCCATATTTCTGGTATTTGCATTGAGTCATTTCTGTTGCATGTGTTGGGTGTAGACTCAATGAACAAGGAATCAGGAATCAACCTCTCTCTCTCCACCTACCTAGATTACTTTTTAGAATTTTAGCCCTCTCCCACCCTCTCGTCTTATTTCACATCTGATTATATTTGATCAATAACACTCATATTATTACCACCAGTCAAATCAGAGGAGGATAATAAATAATCTTAAAATTCTATTTCAATTCAAGCACATCACAACATTCTAACAAGTTACTTATTATGACTATAAAAACACTCGTCCTATTTCCCACCTGATTGTAATTCATCAATAACAATCATATTAATAATTCTGAATGTACATTATCCTACATTGAATTTTATTCCAATATCTAACACTGTGTGATTTATCAAAATATAATCTTATCCATAATGAAGCACGCTTTTAATTTGAATATATATATATATATCTGCTTGAAGAAATAGTTCCATAGCTTAGAAATTATTCTATTGTTTCATGCGAAACCTACGCATGAATGAAATGAGTTTTGGAAATAAGTGAAAGAAATAACCTCATAAAGTATATTTTTACAATATTGTTGTCGATATTTATTGGTTGGAGGTAATCAACACGAAGACGTGAACGCAGATGTCATCTGTATTGGCACTGGTCAGAAAATTATATTTGCAGCCTCGGGGATGCTATCGTCTTCTAATCACATTAGCATAATATACCAAGTGCCAAGTGTTTCCTGCTTCTCTAGCTTATAGATGCACTTGTTTGCTACATTCCACAGAATATTTTGTCTCCAGGTTTCCATTGTTCCTTCACATGTGCACATATGACTTGCTAGTGGGTGTCGATAAACAGAAAACACAGGTTAAGGGCTTCCTGCTGATTACCTACCATCGCTTAACATCGATTCTATGTGCACCATGATTGTGAGACATCTAGCTTCGTGAATACGTCACAAACTTGGCTGATAGAATTCAGACGTCAGCAACACTAATAAATGAGACACACGCTGTCAATTATTCTCCTCTAGTCAATTAAACATTTTTTTAATCCTGTGGCGTAAATACCCCAGTAGAAACATTCTCTGAGCTGACATTCTTTTGGAAAAAGCTCGTGACAGACTACTAGTCATCTGGTTTATCGAGCCTGGAAAGTTGATGAACATAAAAATGTTCTCATAATTTCATGGAAGCATTTTGTCTTATTTATTGATTACACTTTAGATTACTCTTTTGAATACTTTTACAGCAGTACTTTACATTGTTCGCCTCTTTATCTCAGTCACTGGGTCTATAATTTCACTTATATATGAAGTAGAAGATACTGAAGCCATTTCTTTTATCATTAATTATTAACGAATAAATATTAAACAGTTGTTGCTTTGTCAAATCCACAATTGACAAATCTGTTAGTAATTTACAGTGAACACAGTTCGATGGACAAAATTTTCGCCACAGTTTCCTTTGCGGTGAGTCAAACGGCTGATGAGCTAGGCTCCAGAAGAGCGAAACGGCCTGTCAGTGTCTAGATCACCTCGAAATGGCTGACAAGCACTACCGGTTGGTGTGAGTGGTATGCAACTACTTGTCTCAATCAATCCGTGGTGTGTAGTTTAAAGTTATTTGTTTTGATTTCAGGAAGGGTGTAGTAAAATAAAAGTGACACTTTCCTGTCCTGTAAATACTACTCTGTTGTTTAATACTTGAACTACTTTATTGTAAAAATGAGGTTTATGGATAAAAGTTGTCAATTTAGAAGTCTTTTCTCATCACATCCAATTTACTTATATTGTGACCAGGTTGAATAACTAATGTCTTTATGATTCATTCTGATTTGGGATAATATTGTCCAAATGCTCGGTGTGTGTTGGTATATGGACTCCTAATATGGATACCTCAAAGTTGACTTGAAGGTATTCTATTAGTGGTGGCTTTCAATGGCATGCAGGATACAGGTTTCATGCTATTTGGAAATAGTCAGTTAGATATATCGCATAGTCGAACTTATATATATATATATCCAAGTTTCACTGGAAACTTCATTTTATATTGGGACAGAACTACACCCGGCTGTTAAGTCCTTAATGACAGAAAGTGTGCATTCTGGATTCCACTACGAACCATCAACAACCGAAAACCATTCTATGGTTTTAATCTAAGTTCCATTTAAGTTGTCTTCATAATTCAGTGAAAAATATATCCTATTTTAATAATTCTGTTCATTCACAGTTAATTAGTCATTTTGCTTTAATTTGTTACTAGTGTTAGCAGAGAAAATCGATCCTGTTCAGAGAACACCAGTAATAACCCAACAACCTGCATCATTTCTTATCTTACAAAATCATCCTACAGAAGTGAAGTGCCCATTCTGTAAAGCAGATGTTAAAACGATTGTTAAATATAATAATGGCATGATAACTTATGTAGCGTGTGCAGGTTTATGCATCTTAGGGTAAGTTGGTACGACTTATTTTAAAAGTCTGCTTTTTAAATAAAACCAGACATATTCATTAACGCGTAGCTTATTTATTCGGCGACTGCCAAGATAATATATATATATATATCATTAAGAGATTTTGGAGCTCACGTGAATGATTTTAATTTAGGTGTTTCTTCTGAGTTGGATGAATTATCTTCGGCACCAGGTTTAACGTAAAGTGAACTCGTTTGAATTCTCCAAGGATTATATAATTGTATCTCCTGACAACCTCTGTCGCGATTTTGTGTTACTTTGTACCTATATTGACCATTTTATTGACTGGGATTTTGAACTTTTTGTCATGTGGTTCATCTTAATTGAATTTTATATTTTCCAGTCGATTGATTGGACTGAAGTGCTTGGTCTCAGGTTGACATGTTCGCTTCTGGTGCAGACGCTTCAACGATTTCTGGGCATTTAATTAGAATTTAATTGGTGGATGGTGACTTACAGTGGAATGCAGGATGCACATTTCCCAGTGAGTGATGATGTTCCCGCCGAAGCTTAAACCCAGCGCCCATAGTTTCAAAAGCCAAAGCTTTATCCACTAGACCACTTAGGCCTCGGAGGGAACATCCTCACTCACTGGGAAATGCAGGCACATCCAGATGAAGAGTTCCAAATTGGACGAAATACTTATCCTGGATTCCACTGCTATTCACCATCCATCAGTCAAATTCATGTGGTTTATTCTTTACTAGTCAGTAAATTTCCCTCACAAGGATGTCACGGGGTTCTTGTTCTGCTTCATATCACCAAAAATACCCATAGAGTCATGAAGAAAATAAAAGACAAATTCAGGGAAGAAAATTTTCTTTATCGACAAAATCATCTTCAGAGGCTGTACAGTCGTATTTATATTGACCACAAATGTATAGTAGTCTATTACTGAGTAATAGGGGTTGGCATAATTGATATAATTACTCAGAAGTGGCTTTAAAAGTAAAAAATAATTTTTAAATTACGCATTACTCAACGGCACATAGGAAGAAATTGTTAAAAATCTGATAAGGTTAAAATTGCTATTGAGTGAGAATAACGGTAGTTAAGTCTCAATTTAACAAGTGTGAAAATATACAAAAGAAAAATATGAGAGTGATAATAGCGAATTAATTAATAAAGTAAAAGCAAACTAAAAGTAAAATTGAAAATTAAAATTAATGTTCCACTCGGAACCCAAAGAAATAATAAAAATGGATACTTACATAAATGTCCGTAAATTTATCATATGTAATTGAGCTACTTACTCATGACCAGTAGTTAAAACTTATTGTTAACTTTTCAAACTTTCTACGCAGGTGCTGTTGTGGATGTTGTCTAATTCCATTTTGCATCAACGCATTGAAAGACGTGGATCATAAATGTCCAAATTGTCATAAATATCTTGGAAAATATCGAACATTTCAAGAGAAGTTTTTTAAATGATAGTGTCAAGATAAACAGAAATAAATGCGATATACCGGCTTGTTTGTTGTCATTTTCTGTGAAGCCTTTAACGCATACGAATCCATTACGTATTTAAACATGCGTTTCTGCTCTCGTAGTAGACTTTGAAGAAAGAAAGGACAATAAATCGGTATGGAGTGAAGTAAACTTTTAATTTTCTTTTCATCTGAAAATTACACATGAATAGTAGTGGACAGTACTAAATCTCGAGAAATCTTATACTTCTACCTAACTTCCTCAGCATCATACCTGCAAAACTGACTACCTCACAATCAAGTACAAATCATAATAGTTTAATTACTGGTTTTCTAAACACACTGAATCTATGAAAGTGAAAGGTTATAGGGCAGCTCCAGCCTACAGTAGAATAAATATTGCTTGGGTACATAGATAAAGAGTTGTAGATGTTATTGATTTACTAACGTAGAATGCTTGTTGGCCACGCAGGATGTCCACGTTCGATTTCTGGTTATCACACTGTCATGACTCCTTTAGCTAGCTGGGCGATAGTAAGGACGGAAAAGTGAGAGGGTTGAACAAGAGGTTTGAAGCTTTATGTTCCATTTGGGAAGCACGAAATTCCAAAACAGTAGATAAACGCTAGCATATTTCCAAAGAGTTGTTCAGTTCTTAGATCGCGTAAATTCTGAATTCCGGGATTGAATGCAAGAACCTATTCTTCACTATAATGATAAGATACACCTATTTGTACTGGAAGCTTAAGTGATTTAATAGATAGGATTAATTCAAGAAAGATTTAGGTAACTTATTAACCCTAGAAGTTAGATCAATTAAATAATTCTGATAGAATATGACAACTAATTTGAACTCAGTGAATATTTTAAGAACTGTAATAAAAGAATAGAAACCTGATGCTTTTTACTGACTTGACTCTGGATATGTCACAAAAAATGTTTCCGACAGGCCACTGACTCCTTCCATGAACAAGTTGCCTTCGCTGACTAGATATTAAAGATTAATGGCCTACCGTAAGGGATATTCAAAAAAGAACCAAGAAAGTGATACGCAACAAATATGGATTAAACATAACTTGAAGAGATCACTGAGCTGCAACACATACCAAGCCCTCTGTTGGAAGACGAATAAAAGCAATCAAGTTAGAAGTTTGACGGTGACAGAAAACACATCTGGTTAAAATGAAATTAAGGGTTGCGGCTAGTTGTGAAACCTTTGGAAAGTAATTGCAATTAAAATGTGCCTCTGGAGCTCTGTGTTCCACTCGCGAACCGAGGAATGAATAATTTACATATATATATCATCTAGATACTCATTCCGAAGGCTATGATGAAAAGCTGTAACTAGTCGGACCATCTAAATGGAAGGGAGTTCGAGCTTCAAAACAGGAAACAACCAATCGTGTGCCAACAACTTCTAATCTGTATGTGCTGATATCTAGTCTGAGGTAGGAATCACCAGAGCACATTATGTACACAACTATTTTTCTGACTTTATTAATAAAAAGGAAGTTATGAACTGCTAGAAATGGAGAATATCTTTTAAACATGTGTGTAACATCGTTTGATACCTAAATGTCAAGATATCTGCTGCCCATAAGGGTGAGTACGAATAGTTTATAAGATGACAACTGCAAAACAAAAAGAGTTTAAGTGCAACGGTGAAATCTATTTCAGAATTAGTGATGGAAACGCAATCACCAATCTAAAATCGAATTGAACAGTGAAAAACAAAGAACCTTTCCAATACAGAATGACCCGTATTATCAACAAGTTATGAAACAAATGCAAGGTTGACTGCCTTTAAGCCGATATATAAAACAAGGTTGGGCGACATACTTAAATTCATTGAAGCCTTAGTCATAAAAAAGACTTAAACCTGTCTTATGTGTCCAAAACCTGCCTTGGTAATCCAATTTAGAACCAAGGACCAATTTACTTTATAATATTGCCAAAGTCCACCATACTAGTTGTTTCTAAGATTTTGTTTATATTTTTAAAAGTTTTATTTATGTATGAGCTTTTTATCCCTCACAACACTGTTGTTGATGTGATTTTTATATCAAACTATGTACGTGTTGAACAATATATTTTTTCATACATTTGTTCCCCTTAATGAATTTGAACAAAGCAACAACTACAGTTTTAGCAGAATAAAATGGCGACGAAATAAAATATGGTACCATTTTATTTTGCTAAAACTGCAGTTGTTGCTTTGTTCAAATATATTTTTTGTCAGCCATAGTATGTCGCAAAGGTCTTAAAGTTCCTTTTTATGTGTGTACATATAAACAAGCTCGACTACTAATTTTCATTTTTGCTTACCTGATCAACAAACCTTAGTTTAATCTTTGTGAGCCATATAATTTGTTGAAATATTCAGTGGGCAACTTCAGGTTACTAACCATTAAATCATATATTACTTTCTAGAGAATATGCCCCAATAACTGAGTCTTCTGTGAGTGTTTTAGTATCGGTATTTACAAATTTAATAAGCTGCCGATAAAGTTAGTACTGAAGTTTATCGACTTTAATAAGGCTGGTTATGCATTTGGTAGTAAAGACACAGTTAACCCTTCACAGAGCACCTGTTTTCATGAATGCCGGCTAATATTCGTCATTGACGTTTAAAATGTCTTCAATAAAGTAATTTGCATAAGAAAAGTACTTGAACCGGTCAGCATACACATTTCCACGGCTTTGATCCTCTTCAGTATCAAGGAAATTTAGTAAAGACCCTCAGCAACAGCGTTAGAGGTAATTGTTTAACAGATGCGATTGAAGACTAACTTAAGGTTGCGTAAGACATGTTAATTGAAAGCAGCTACCATGAAACGTTCACTAAACATAAGACCAAGAAAGCAGAAAAGAGTTATTCTGTATCTATTAACAAGAATCCTCTATCTCTCTCTGTGGGAAATATAAGCTGAAGCTTATCATCATCAAATCTTCTTTGAAGCAATTGTTTCACTTGGTATATCACTTTTCGCTTGTAGTTGTACATATATATATATAACTCAAAAGTGATAAACCAGGTGAAATGATAGATTCAAAGAAGGTTTAATGATGATAAGCTTCAGCTTATATTCCCCACACAGCCGGATGAGCTTCCGAAAATGAAAAATAAAGTACCTAGGCTAGCTAGTCACCTCCAATTGTATCTATCAGTTCAGCTGCTCTTGCTCTAGGAACTTAATTTTTCATTCTCGTCAACATCTATCTGTGTGGTTAAACAACGGCATTGCTAAACCTGTCAACATTTCTGTATTAAATCACCTCGTGCAAACAGGCCACAAAGATAACTTCCATTGAAGAGTTTTTCTGTTTCATCTAATCGGTATCGAATAAATTACCGAAGGCCTCTGGATACCGAACACCAAACAGCAGGGACCACTGCAATTCGCTTAAACAAACCGGAACTCTTCGTGCAAAAGAAACAGGTCAAGCCAATACTGTCTGCGATCGAACCTATAAATGTATAAATTCTACGCTACATCCTTAAATTTATCTGATATTTATTTTAGTGTAATAATAATGCATGTTATCTCTTAATAGGTACTTTTGAAACGTGATCTGTCTATATTACTGTTTCAGAGTAATTTAAGACAACACTAATGTTGGTAACAACGATATCTCATTAATTATTATGGTTACACAAACATAGAATCTGTTGATGTTCATTAACCAGTCTTCGATAAAGCTATCTAAGCTCAAAAATCTTTTTCTATCATAGTATTGCAGACTAAAACACTGATTTCATAGTCCAGCAGACCCACCGCAAACACAAAATGTTACTGGGGTTATTGAAATTATTGAGTTTTATGACTAATGTTTCACGGGAATTTCAGTGCGGTCAAGGGATCAACAGTTTCAAGGAGAAGTCACGTTTTGCTGAATGCCATCTAGATGCTGCGCTCACCTAAGCAATTCAGAGTGGTGTAGTTTTAATTAATGAAACTGACTGCCTTTTATAAATATTGAAACTTTGGGTGGTTGGGTGAAGTTTTAGAATTTTCGTAATAATTAGTCTTTCTAATTGAAACAGAAATCAAACTGTCTTTAGTTAGCTGCAGAAAACTCAATGACAGAATACTTGCTAGCCACACACTTAACCAGGATTCGATTCTCCCAGTCGACACACTCCTAGAACTTGACTACTTGGCGGTAAATCCTGAAAAGAGGGAAGATTTGACGTGACGCTAGCACCCCCCTTCTGTAATAACAACAATATCACTACTGAAATGTCACAGCCCCAAGCCTTGTGTTTCACTTTGGACGCAAAGAATGCGAAAGAGATGCAACTCTGTTATTTAGAGAATCCAAGTACAATGTAACAAACTACACTTTTTATTCACTCTGTTGTTTAATGATGAAGCGAAATGCTGTACAAACTGTTGCATACCTACAAAGCGTTCATTAGAATGAATCAGAACAACTACTCAAATACAATTTTCAATGAATGCAAAGAATCACTGAATATAGTTCGTACACACTCATCTGAAGATTTAAAAGTCGATGACTGAAATACATTTTAGTTATTTTTGGCTGATAATTTTTGTTAAATACACGCAGTAAAAAGTATTCGTTATGCTTTCTTTCCCAGGTATCAGTTGAGTTTCGCCTGCATTAATTACGTCTAAAAACTACTTGCTACATAATTATGAGTTAAAAAAGACTCCTGCACCTGCACACTAAGATACCTGTCTTGCTCAGAGTTTCATTTTGCATGGAGCCTTTTAAAGTCAGTTAGTTATTCGAGTAATACATTACAAAAAACTTAGTAGTTAATAAAACACTTTTTTATACTACTATTATGTTGGCAAACATAAATACGTCGCTAAATTGGGGGTCAAATAGTGAAAAGCAGTAGGCAACTGAAGACCAAATGTGGACTACTAATCCATTCAGCCCTCTTAGCTCACTAAAATAAAGGTAGAAGTCAGACTGGCCTATGCAGGTGAAAACAATAAAAGTTGTTATACAACAAAATTCAGTGTATTTCAG